AAAGGGGTGGGTGGGGCACAGAAGGAGCACAAATGACGCTGAACCTCTGTGTTTGGCATCATTCAGTGTCCTTGAGGGCTGTTTGGACACTCAACCTCTGTGTTCAGCGTCATTTGTTGTCTTTGGGGGCCATTTGGATGGGTGAGGGGCGTTGGAGGGGTGAGAGGAGGGGGTGGTGGTGGAAGGTGAGAGCGAGGGTAGGAGGGCAAGATGGGGCAGGCAGGGCAGAGAACCAGTGCCAACACCGCCGAACCTCTGTGTTTGGCATCATTTGTTGTATTCAGCAGCCATTGGGACAGGTGAGGGGTGTCAGAGGGGCGAGAAGGGGCAGTAGTCAGGGTGGAAAGTGAGAGGCAGGCAGTGCTAGGTGGGCAGGTGGGCAGGACACTTGTAACAGCCAGACTTATGTATCAATACTAGCCTACTGGCAATTCTTGGTCATAAATCATAGCTGTCAGTAGGCAGCCAGGCTTTTTTATATGTGCTGCTGGGCTTGCCAGGGCTCGGAACTGTCTGCCAAGGCTGCAGGGACAGCAAACAATGGCCAAACAATGCTCGGGGACATTGCATAGGGTGCTCGTTGTCATTGGGGGCAGGACGGCACATGGGAAACCTTCTGAATCGGGTATGACACAGGAGAATGCCTTGCCAAGATGCCCAGCGATGTAAGTGGTCTCTAGCTCGCCGTTGGGGACAGCAGGCAGCCCCATTCTTAGGAATTATAATGTCAGGACAGAATACAACCTATTTCAGGTCTTTGCGCACCTCAAGGAGGATGGGAGGGGGTGGATGGGCAATTGGGTATTTGGATGACATTCTATTTTTAGACAACACCATCCGGCAACCTCAGGAACACTCAAAAGCACACCAGAAAAGCACAAAAAATCATATAAAATTGTAATAAAATAAATACATGGTACAGGGTAGTTCTACTGGCCGTCCGCTACAAAATAGAACAAAACAAGCAGAAACAGCGCCTTTATGATGCGCCATTTCTACCTCCGGGGTGAGGGGGGTGTTCAGTCATGGTTGTCACCCTCATGCTGGGTTGCTGGTGCTTGCCTTTGTGCCATAGGTGTCATGCTCACACTGTAGTCATCCTCATGCCGTCACATGGTCATCGTTGTCATGGTGTTGTCGTTGTCGTGCTGAGGTTGTCGTTGTGCCCGGCAGACCATCCTCGCTGTGCACAAGGTGCTGCTGGTCCCCATGCTCACTTGGTCATGCTCCCCGGCCATTGTTCTCGCCTGGTCGTGGTGGTCGTCCAGTTGTCATTGCTGTCGTGTTCACGTCGGCCTCATGTTGGTGCTGCCGTTGTGTTCATGCTGCTGCTGCGGTCCTATGGCCTTATCCTCGCTGGCTGCTGTGCTCATATTCGCCTTGCACCGTCTCGCTGTCCTGGTCATCCCATAGTCGCCAACAGGAGAAGGAGAGGGCAGCAGCCATGTCAGCTAGAAATCTATATCAAACCCAGCATTTAGCCAGTGTGATCTCATAAGTCCAGCCTGTGATAAAGCAGTCAAGCTTTCCGAGGCTCCTGGGATGAGTTTGCCGGGGATGCCAGGGCTATAGGGATTTGTTTGGAGGTGGGAGGAGGTAAATAAATGACCAAACAACCCTCCTGGGGGTGGGGCGGGGGTAGGGTAGGCCTGTGGGAGGGGTGGGAAAGGCATGGGAAATCTGTCTGAAACAGGCAGGGATGGTGGGGGATGCATGATAGGGGCTAGTGGAATGGCAGGGGCCTAAAAATGGGTTGGGCGGGGCTAGATATGCATGCTAATAATTGTCATGGCCCCCACAGGGTGCGGGATGGGCTGGGGGAGCCAAAAACGCAAAAAATCCAGAGACTTTTGCATTTTTAATACAAAACAATTGAATAACAAATTGAAAACTTAATATTTTGGTGTGAAACTTTGGGGACCTTTGTATCTATAGCGGAGGGTGCTTCAGGAATATTTTGAGTATTTATTATGAATTATGGGGTGCGCCACACAGCCAGGAATAGTGTGTGCGGCAGGGTTTGATGCGCTTTGCCAAATTTGGCAATAAAATGATGGGTGCACATCCGTGCATAATTCCGGCTGCCCCTCGCATTATTTCGCTTAGCTTTGGCTTAGCAAAATGTTGGGTACATTGATACCTTCCTGTAGACCCTTTGATCGCATGAAACGGGTGAGAACTCGTTGAGATATGACAAACGTGATTTTGGCTACTATAATGCATGGTGCACCCATGCATCCTGGGACATTTTTAGGGCCATTTAACTTGGCCAAAAATCATGAGATACATGCCTGAGAGTAATGGCAGCTTGCATAATGCCAGGGGGTGTCTGGGTGTAGTAGATATGAGGGGGGGTATAGGTACACCAGGAGACCCTCTCCAAATACCCCACTAAACGCAGATCTGAAAGTCTGGAAAGTATATACGTAAATAGTGTATATTTATCCATGAATTTAACATATTTTATCATAATTTTATATTGCCTGGAAGTTGGGTTATTGACCAATTTCCCACAAGCTGAAATATTTTATTGACCTCCCGGAGGGGGGATATTGGCACATGTAAAATCATGATAAATGACGATAAATGTATAGAAACAGATCGAGGTACTTGCGAAGGCAAGGGAATGAATGTGTGTAAAGTTATTAAGAGGAGAAGGAGGAGGTAGTCCCCCCCATCAGTATCTATGTAAATACTTACCAAATCCACATATCGCACCCATTCAATGGTGCGTTCGGGTCAGGATAATGTTCCTTAACATATTTCAGTAGTGATGGATGAGGCTCCGAGGCCTGGGGGAAATGGTATTAGAGAAAGAGCTGAAAATGCGCGAAAAACACGAAAATAATTAAAATGGGTACCTCGGACTTGTTCAAAAATTACCAAACCTCATACATGAGGATCTATTAACATTCTGAAGAGACTGCAAAAGACCAGATGAGATTCCAAGCAGTGGGTGGAAAGATATGCAAAATGAACTCCCAAAGCACTGGATGCAACACAAAGTTGTGACAAGATGTTGCCGCTCTTACTGTCATTTGAGTACCCTTTTGCATATCTTTCCACCCACTGCTTGGAATCTCATCTGGTCTTTTGCAGTCTCTTCAGAATGTTAATAGATCCTCATGTATGAGGTTTGGTAATTTTTGAACAAGTCCGAGGTACCCATTTTAATTATTTTCGTGTTTTTCGCGCATTTTCAGCTCTTTCTCTAATACCATTTCCCCCAGGCCTCGGAGCCTCATCCATCACTACTGAAATATGTTAAGGAACATTATCCTGACCCGAACGCACCATTGAATGGGTGCGATATGTGGATTTGGTAAGTATTTACATAGATACTGATGGGGGGGACTACCTCCTCCTTCTCCTCTTAATAATTTTACACACATTCATTCCCTTGCCTTCGCAAGTACCTCGATCTGTTTCTATACATTTATCGTCATTTATCATGATTTTACATGTGCCAATATCCCCCCTCCGGGAGGTCAATAAAATATTTCAGCTTGTGGGAAATTGGTCAATAACCCAACTTCCAGGCCATATAAAATTATGATAAAATATGTTAAATTCATGGATAAATATACACTATTCACGTATATACTTTCCAGACTTTCAGAGCTGCGTTTAGTGGGGTATTTGGAGAGGGTCTCCTGGTGTACCTATACCCCCCCTCATATCTACTACACCCAGACACCCCCTGGCATTATGCAAGCTGCCATTACTCTCAGGCATGTATCTCATGATTTTTGGCCAAGTTAAATGGCCCTAAAAATGTCCCAGGATGCATGGGTGCACCATGCATTATAGTAGCCAAAATCACGTTTGTCATATCTCAACGAGTTCTCACCCGTTTCATGCGATCAAAGGGTCTACAGGAAGGTATCAATGTACCCAACATTTTGCTAAGCCAAAGCTAAGCGAAATAATGCGAGGGGCAGCCGGAATTATGCACGGATGTGCACCCATCATTTTATTGCCAAATTTGGCAAAGCGCATCAAACCCTGCCGCACACACTATTCCTGGCTGTGTGGCGCACCCCATAATTCATAATAAATACTCAAAATATTCCTGAAGCACCCTCTGCTATAGATACAAAGGTCCCCAAAGTTTCACACTGAAATATTAAGTTTTCAATTTGTTATTCAATTGTTTTGTATTAAAAATGCAAAAGTCTCTGGATTTTTCGCGTTTTTGGCTCCCCCAGCCCATCCCGCACCCTGTGGGGGCCATGACAATTATTAGCATGCATATCTAGCCCCGCCCAACCCATTTTTAGGCCCCTGCCATTCCACTAGCCCCTATCATGCATCCCCCACCATCCCTGCCTGTTTCAGACAGATTTCCCATGCCTTTCCCACCCCTCCCACCCCCCACAGGCCTACCCTACCCCTGCCCCACCCCCAGGAGGGTTGTTTGGTCATTTATTTACCTCCTCCCACCTCCAAACAAATCCCTATAGCCCTGGCATCCCCGGCAAACTCATCCCAGGAGCCTCGGAAAGCTTGACTGCTTTATCACAGGCTGGACTTATGAGATCACACTGGCTAAATGCTGGGTTTGATACATGTACCTGGCTTATATAAGTGGAGGGCAGGGCACGAGACGAGTAGCAGGTGGATGGCTAGACAAGGGTTGACCTCCTGTAACCAACCACCCACCTGCTTGTGCTTGTCCTCTGCCACCCGCTTGTCCTTGTCCTCCACCCGCTTGTCCTTGTCCTCCACCCGCTTGTTGTTGTTGTCCACCTGCTCATGATCTTCTGCTCATACCTGTACATTCACCCGCTTTGCTCCTGTTGCCGGTCACACCCTGATGCTCATGCCGCCACAACACCATATTCGTCTCGCATTCCGGTGGGTTTGACCTGTGCCCACTGTTGGACTCACATTGCGTCATTGTTCTTCTCATCTTCATCATGTTGGTCGTTTGGTTGTCACGTCGCTGCAAAACCGTAGGGTCCAGAAGGGGGTGCTGGCAAGGGAGGCTGAGACCCTGCAACCAACCGTCCACACCCGCTGGCACTCATGCTCCTCCACCCTCTCGTGCTTGTGTCTGTCCTTCCTGCTCATATCACCGGCCCCACCCTTGCTCTCGTGTCCATCCTACGTCGACATTGTATTGCTGCTGCCACTGTTGCATTGGTTGTACTCTGGCAGCTGTGTTCACAAACTGCTGTGTCCATCTCACGCTCTGTCGTATTCATTCCGTGCTCGTCATTTCATTCGCATCGTCGGTGTCATCGTGTCGCTAATTCTGTCCTTGTGCCGCCATGAGGCCATGGGTCAAATAGAGGGAGAGGGCAAAAGAGAGGGGTGGGGAGAAGAAATGCCACCCCATCCAAATGTCACACAGCACCCACAAGATGCGGTGGCTTTGAGGACAAGGGGAGGGTGAATAGAGGAGAGGGAAGAGGGGCGAGGCAATGCAGAGGCGAGCGTCAGGTGGGTAGTCTCATGGAGGGAGAGACCCACATCCCTGTCAAGGGGAGGGGTGGGTGACGTTGAGGCGAGGGCGATGGGTGGTGGGCAGTAGAGCTGAGGACGGTCGAGTGGACGGAGGAGTGGGGTGACATTGCCAGGGTGGCCTTCATGCTACATCCCTATTGAAGGGGAGAGGCGCAAGAGGCAAGGGAAACGAATGTCAACATTAAGTCAACATTCGAGGACCTAATGTGAATTAAAACATGTGTTAGAGTGCATATGTATGAAGAGAACATATTACTTACCAGTTTCCTCAGTTCTAATGCCTCATCTGGGACGTTGAACATTGAGGGGGAGGGCCAGGTGGCAGTGGAGGACAAGTATCAATGACGCTCATCATTGTTGATGGCTTATCCGGTGGATGCCGCCCACTCACTGATTGGTTGGAACTTGCGACCCATTTCTCCATGGCTCCGCTCATTCACAACGGAATCGCTATTGCCTAGCACAAATTGTGAAGGACGATTATTTTAGTGTCGGAATCTCATGGTATTATATAATTATATCTATTTATCTGTGTCCGGTGGTAGTTTTTCAAAGAGAAACGTAGAGTAGTGATGTGAGCTACTCATTTGCATTAAGCTACACTCCAGGACCATATGCTTTGTACGAGAAACCCCAGATCAAAAGGTAAGAGCCATAAGAAGTGAATTAATAGACTGTGTAGCTATCTCCTGAGCTGTCTGAATGCAAACTCGTAGCACTTGCAAGCAGGTGAAGTGTGTAGTGAAATTTAGATTGAGCTAATGCACACTTTTGCAACATCTTTGACAGGTTTCAAAGGGACCCATCACACTGGACAAGCCACAAAACAATTTATCTAAGTTATTATACATTCAAAGTGCAACTAATATTTAATTCAGGGCGTAAACGAGGTGGAATCGCCACAAAACGATGAGCAGATGGTCCCAAACTGTGGTGATCTTGGTACACTGGCTGCCAGGCCGCCTCCTCCAGCCAATTGGAATGAGGTGTGGTGTTTGCTGGATCACGGTTGATGACAGTTGGACATTGTTGATCGTTTCCTCCACCTCCACTACTACCCTCTGCATGCTTTCCCCTCGCCAGCCAGCCTCAAAACTCAAAGAAAAAGGTAAGCAAATGTTATTTTGTGTATTTATGGCCATACTAAACTACCCCCCGCATCACAGGAGCCTGCCCACACCAATGACAACATGATGAAGCTGCTGCGTGCTCCTCCCCTCTCAACAGGGATGTGGGCCAGCACCAATTCACGTCCACCGCTGCCTTACCTCCCTCCTGTTTACACCAACCCACCCACCTCGCTCTCGCCTGTGCCCTCTTATGCACGCCCTCTCCCCTCGTACTCGCCCACGCTCGCCACACGAGCACTCCCAAACACTTTGTCCCTTCAGCTCTCACCGAGCACCCTCCCCTACCAGGGCTGTGAGTTGCTCTCCACGAACTCCTGATGCACGGTGTTTTGTTGCCAGGTGACTTGGATGGAGGGGCTGTTGGGCATGGACAAGTGGACAACCATGATGAGCACTTGCGCACTGAGAGGGCAAGAGGACAGCTGCAACACAGTGCAACATGACAGACAGGGTGGGGTGGGTAGCAGCTACATGGGAAAGGTGAGGGCGAGGTCAGTACGGTGTCAGCGAGATGAGCAAGACGCGCCTGTGATGGCCAGCAGGCCATCCTAAACATCTGGTCTGCTCCCCCCACCACAGTGTGCACACGACGAGGACACAAGGACGACTGTGATGACAACAAGAATGCAAGGATTTTGCCCTCACCCTCACCTCACCCCCAGCCCCGTCTTGTCTCACCCACCCCATCTCGCACTCTCCTGGACGCCTACCTCACTATGTCACCCACCCCTTCCTTCATTAGGACGAGGACGAGGACGACAGTGTGACGAGGATGATGACCATGACAGTATGTCAAGGACCACAACAAGGACAAGGACAGCACAACAAGGACAAGGACAGCACAACAAGGACGAGGATGGCACAACGAGGATGAGGACGGCACAATGAGGATGAGGACGGCACAATGAGGATGAGGACGACAGCATGAGGATGAGGATGGCACAACAAGGACAAGGATGATGAGGACAAGGATGATGAGGACAGCATGACGAGGACAACGAGGACAGCACGATGAGGACCACCTGTATCAGTTAGAAAAATATAGAAATACAAGGCAGTTTCCTAACTATGAATCTAAGCCCTGGAGGGCAATATGCTACCTTCCACTTTGGGAAGGCTCTCCTAATAAGAGGGAGGGGTTGCTGGGTGCCTGGCATCTGCAAGAGTGATGAGGAGGGGGTAAATAAATTAGTAAGCATCCATTTCCAGGGTGGGCGGGTGGTGGGAGGTGCAGGAGGGGGTGGAATGGGGGTGGAATGGGGGCAGGATAGGCCAAGCAGGACCCCAGGGCACTGCAGAGAACTGGTCATGTGACCTGTTTGCTCTGCAGCCTCAACCAGGGCCGTTTTTTGTGAAAAAAGTGCCCAGGGCCAATGTGATAGTATGTTACTGTATGTCATAAAAAAATCAGGAGAATCTGGGATGTGGAATGTTGCGAAACGGCACGTATGAGGTGTCACCTTAACTTGGTGCGTGTTTATTTTTAGCACAAGCTGCTAAATTGGGATCTGGCATCAAAATAGCCATTGCTGGCGCATTTCGGGCTCGTTTGGCTTCCCTTTGGGTGGAAATTGATGGGAACGATGACACGATAATTTTGAGGGAGTTCATAGCTACCTGTAGACACCCAGAACGTGTGAATACGACCATTTTTGGTGATGTTATGGCCTAAACTGTGCTTCTATGCACAAAAATGCGAAAATGCGCACCTAATGCTCTGCTTCTCATGCATGCCTGCCTCATAAAAACTAGCCGATAATTTAGTATGCTACTAGAGCTTTAGAACGAGCCAATAATAATGGCCTTGCATGCATTATTGGTTATGCAATGGGCCTTTCGATGTTTATGTGCTAAAAACCCGAAAAATCGCACTCAAATCTCTATGCCACACATGTATCTATCCTTCCAAAACATTATGCGTTCAGATAGAGGTTATCAAAGGCTACAAAACGCACTATTCAGCATCTCCACGCGTTCATTTGTTCCAAGGATATACCTACAACACTCCTCATCCCTCAATATCACAAAAAGTGAACTTCTGTATCTCCCCCAATTATTATCCAAAACCTGTAGAACTTTTCAGTCAGTCTCACCAAGTGCCCTAGTCACTATTTACAGTCACAAAGCATGGTATAGTCTCCCTTTTAATATAATATAAGCACCCCTTCCTCCTCCCCCTGAAAAGCCAGAAATGCGCCCTCCATTTCCCATTCCCCAGGCTACTTATGTGAGCTGTAACATATATACATGTTAATGGTAGCCATATAGGTACCTCCATGCAAGAATACAGGGGTTCATAATGCCAAATGCACTTGCAGTGGCCAATTTCGGGTTTTCTACCTATAATCACCTTGTTTGCCCCATGGGATGCCCAATTCTTCACCAATCTTCAAGAAAAAACATGTCCCAGAATCGGAACAATCTCCTCTTAAAATTCCGACACCTCCGAGACGACCAATGTGACACCTTAGACAACATAAAAATCAAACTGATTGCCACTTTTAAGGAGATCAAGGATATATATAATTAATCAGACAATGCAGAGACATTCTACTGACTACTTCTAAGTGTCCTCAAAAAGTTCTATTGTGATTGGGTCATTGTGGAAGGCAGAAGGTCTGAAATGAACCTCAAACAGACTGGTGAGGAGTGGTGATCACCATATTGCCTAGTTTGTCAAATGTGTTCACCCTGGAAACTGGAGGTAGTATCATTGCTCACAGGTCTGAGAGGGGTTTAAAAACACCTGATAGTTACTATAATCTATAATATATATTTTTACAAAATTTTAGAGCAAGGACTATACCTCCAATCTGAGGTAGAATCTTGGAGAGGGCAATTGAGAAGGCAGAAGGACAATTGCATGAATAAAATAATTAGTTCTTATTCAACTTGCATCAGACTTTTTCTATATCACTCTAACAGTAGTATAGGAAGTATTCCGAGCTATCCAATGAGATTTGGGGCACTAGAGGTGCCATGTCCACAACATTGTGGGAATCCCCCAGGCAAGAAGGAGGAAGTGTCTTTGGTCATGGAATTGGGGTGTTTCTACACAGTCTTGAGGGCAGAAAAAGAAGGGAGGGTGCTAGGATAGTGTTCAGATTATGTTGGAGTGACAGGAATAACCCCAGCTTTGCTTGAAGGGATATAAGAGTGCACATTTTCGATTTTTCTGGTATCTTGTGAAGTGTTGTAGGTATATCTTTGGAACAAATGAACACGTGGAGACGCTGAATAGCGCGTTTTGTAGCCTTTGATAACCTCTATCTGAACGCATAATGTTTTGGAAGGATAGATACATGTGTGGCATAGAGATTTGAGTGCGATTTTTCGGTTTTTTAGCACATAAACATCGAAAGGCCCATTGCATAACCAATAATGCATGCAAGGCCATTATTATTGGCTCGTTCTAAAGCTCTAGTAGCATACTAAATTATCGGCTAGTTTTTATGAGGCAGGCATGCATGAGAAGCAGAGCATTAGGTGCGCATTTTCGCATTTTTGTGCATAGAAGCACAGTTTAGGCCATAACATCGCCAAAAATGGTCGTATTCCCACGTTCTGGGTGTCTACAGGTAGCTATAAATTCCCTCAAAATTATCGCGTCATCGTTCCCATCAATTTCCACCCAGGGGGAAGCCAAACGAGCCTGAAATGCACCA